GGAGGGATGTCAGCCGCCTCGGAGCACAGCTGAGGCTTGTCGGGGGCACACTGGGCCCTGGGATTGGGACCGGCTGTGCACAGAGCCGGGGCCCCCCCGGGTGCCCGCAGCGCAGGTCCACACCCAGCGTGGGTCCCTCGCGTCCCCTCAGCCTGCTTCACCGTGCCTCTCTTTTTCTCTCCTCCCTGCGGCCCCCTGCAGTGGACAGGAAGGACAAGACAGCAACGATGCCCGACTCGCCTGCCGAGGTGAAGACGCAGCCCCGCTCCACGCCCCCCGGCATGCCGCCCCCAGCGCCTGCCGCGTCCCAGGGGGCCACCCGGCTCCCCTCCTTCACGCCTCACACAAGTGAGTAACCCAGGGCTGGGGCACCGAGTGGGCAGAGTGGAGGTCCCCTGGAGCTGTGTGAGGCTCCGAGCATTACCGCGAATCAAGCCAGGGCTGGGGGCCCTCCGCCCTGAACCCATAAACGCCCACCGTTGGGCCCTTGAGAGGGAGGATCTCATCATGGCTCAGAGCCTGAGCCTCAGGTTCAAATCCTGGTTCTTCTACTTTGCGGCTCTGTGGCCTTGGGTAAGCTACTTAACCTCTCTGGACCTGGCGTTCCTCATCCATAATTCGGGGCTAGCCACAGTCCCTGCCTCAGCGAGCTGCTGTGAGGACAAGTGAGTTTGTGCAAGTTCTTACCCAGTGACAGCACATCGTGAGTGTTTTGTCAAAGCTCTTACACTTGGAGCCCAGAGAGGGACAGGGAGAGCCTAGCTTACTCGAGGGCTGTGAGTCCATCAGAGGTGGCCCTGGCCTCAGCGGAGCTGGGCAGCCAGGCCGCGGTGGGGTGTGAGGGTTGGCCAGGACCTGGCGTCAGCCGGGGGCCCTGCTGCCGGGGGATGTGCAGGGCAGGCCGGCCCTTCGCCCAGTGTCTCCCTGGCCCTGGGCTGACCTGGGGTGAGCATCTGGGCACACACAGTGTCTCTGGGTGGGCTTCCACAGTCCACAAACACCACTGCTGACCTGTTGCTTTGACTCAGAAAAATCGGTGACTCAGTGACTTTGGGGTCTTGAGCATTTGGGAGGAGACGCCAGCCTTGGGCCGGTGGGGGGTATGGTATCCCGTGCCCCCCGAGGCGAGGGGCTTAGCAGTGTGTCCTGGGCATTTCTGGTGGGCAGTGGAAAGAATCCGCACGGCACCTGCTCCCCCCACATCCAGAGGCCAGAAAGCCCCACACGTGGGGAACCCTTTGCCAGGTTTGAAACCTAAGCAAAGCCCGTCTCTGGGAAGGGAGCCTCGAGTGCCTCAGCCTGGTGGTTCCTCAGACAGCCTCCTGCCAGCCATAGCCCAGGCGAGACCGCAGGGCCCAGCTCCTTTCTTCCCTGTCATCGGAGGCCGGGCAGCCGGGGACCATGGGGCTTGGCTGTGACCCTGCCTACCTCTGGAGAAAGGTGCTGCTTTCAGCGATCAGGCCAGGCTTGGCCCTTGTCTGTAGGATGCTGGCTTTGAGCGGGCCTCCTGACCGCGCTGCGCCGTGGGGGGCAGGTGGAACGCACCAGCGGCTCCCCTTGTGCAGTCTGAGGCAGAGACTTCCCAGCACACTCAGGAGCTTAATAGCCAGCACCCTCCCCGCACCTTCCCTCCACAGAAGGTCCCAGGTCCTCCTCCTCGGGCCAGTCTGTGCCAGGGTCACCATATGTAATGGAGACCGGAATGAACCTCAGACCTTTCCTTCCCCAGGAGGGGCCCAGGAGGGGCCCAGGAGAGCGGGGCCTCACACTGCGGTAGCCCTGGGCGTCCAGGCTGGGGTCGACCTGCAGGGGCTGGCTGGGCTCTGCCGTCACGCAGCTGCTGGCCATCCGGGTCCCCTCTGCCTCCGCCGTGCGGACCCCGCCCTCACCTCGGGGCTGGACCCCTGTCGGCCACAGGCGGAGGCTCCCACGGCATTTAACCGCCACTAGCAGCTCCCAAGACACAAGGCCGTGGGCCCTCCTCCTAAAATGACGAGCCCACCCTCCAGGGTCTGGTGCCCAGGCAGAGAAGCCGGCGGGCCGTGGCCGGCGTGACCGAGGCCTCGGGGCCACTTGCCCGGCTAGGAAGGGCACGTCGCCCTCGGCCTACTTTCCTTCGTGGCCCAGGACCCATGCTCCCGAAAGCGCCGGTCTGGGAACCAGATGTTCCAGGTTGGGGACAGGGGTGGGGCGTGTGTGTGGCTCAGGGCCCCCCTCACGGCCATTTGTCCCCTCACACTGGTGCACCAGGGGCTCCCATTTCTGGAGGGGAGGACCTGGCTCTGTCTGGGGCATGGAGGTTAGAAGAGGCCGGTGGTTCCTTCTACTCGAAGCCGGTACTTTAATGTCATTGGGCTGCTGGGGTGTCCATCTGGGTCTCTGGTCACCTCCAAGGGGCCTCGGAGTTGTGCGAAGTTGTGTGGAATTCCCAGAAAGCCGTGGTTAACTGCATCATGCCCCTGGCCGCCAGGGTGGGAGCCTCCCCGGCTTCCCCAGGAGCAGCCTGGGAGCCACGCAGGCCAGAGGCTGACCTTGAGCCGTGGCTCAAGCTGGTTTTCCTTGCCTAATGACTGCCTGGGCACAAATTCATCCTGGAGTTGAAGCCACGGTATGGCTGTGGCAGTGGTCAGGATGGCTGAGATGGCTTGGGATGCCCTCAAAGGCCTGTCCTGCCCTTGATTACTCCCTGTGACAGGGGGCTCACTGCCTGTCTGCAGTGGTCCAGCCCATCTGGCCTCGGCTCCACTTACTAACTCCAGCTCGGACAGATCACATCTCTGCCCCCTTGGTGCTTCTTCCCTTCACGGTGGCTAAGGGCTGGGCCTTGTTTTCCAACCACCACTGGCTTGTCTGTCAACGGACCTCACGTCTTGTCGGCTTGGGCTCCGGGTCCCTTGAGGACGGTGCCAAGTGGGGTTATAGGGCGCCTTCCAGGAAGAGAGCTTTTTAGGATCCAAGGTGTCCCACCCATGCTGGCTGGAGACACTACAGGGCTTGTTGAGCTCTAGCAGGTCCTCCCAGATATGGCCCTAAGAGACCCCCCAATACAACCCCGTTATTTTACGGTAGAGGAACTGAGGCCCAGAGAAGAGAATGGACCGGCCCAAGGTAGTGACAGAGTCCCAGTCCCTAAAACTGCTGTGGAGAGGCAGAGGGGAGGGGCGGCCCTGCCCACCCACCTGCTCTTTCCTGACAGGGTGTTTTTCTTATTTTGCTTACAGATCGAGAAGACGGGCCCACGATGTCCCTGCCCCACGGCCGTTTTCATGGCTGCTTAAAGTGGTCTATGGTCTGTCTTTGTAAGTAAAATAACAAAAACCGCAGCCTCCTGGGAGGTCCTCACCCCAGCAGCCTCTGCCCCGGGAAGGCCATGGCAGTGCCCCCCACTGCCTGCACCCCCATTATTGTTGCGTCTGCTGTGTTCATGAGCCCTGCCTCCCTTAGAGAGAAGAGGGGGCCGGGGGCAGGCCCAGGAGAGCAGAGCGCAGAGCCCCGAGTCAGACCCGAGTTCAAAGCCGCCCTGCACTCACAAGCTGTGTGGCACTGGGCAGGTGGGGGGGGCCTCTCTGAGCTCCTTTTCCCCAACCACAGAGCAGGATGAATAAGGCAGATCCAGATCCCAGAGTTGTGAGAAGATCCGATGTCAACAGCGAGTCAGTCGCTTGGCCGACGCAAGGGCGGACCCCGGCCCGCCTCAGGCCCCAGCTCCCACCCCTCCTGGCCGGGTGACTTGGGCAGGTTCCACACTTGTGCCTCGGTTTCTCCACCTGTCAAACGGCAGTCATCCCAGCACCTAGTGCCAAGGGCAACTACAAGGAGCCGTGAGACGCTGCTGGTCTCACACGGGGCCCGGGACACGCTGGGCACTCGGTTGCCAGTGGACGTTCCTGCCCAAGTCTCGGGACCACAGCTGAGGCCCGTGGTGGAAAGCGCTCGGGGGCCGTGCTCATAGTTCGTCAGCCAGCGAGTGCGGTCAGGTCAGGCCCTGACTCTATGCCAGGGGGCTGCACGGCCCGGGTGGCCCTGCGGAGCCCCCAGGCTCTGAGCAGGAGGTGACGGATCGGTCCTGCATTATTTACGTCCCGCGATACCGTTGTCCTTACTGCCCTGTGGGATCCGGCCTGGCCTGGCTCTGGCGCCCAGCGTGTCCCCGGAGCCGCGGCGCTGATGGGGAGAGGGGCTGCTTGTCGGGTTCCACGTCCCAGCGCGACCCCCGCCCGGGCCCCGGGGCCCAGGGAGCCACAGGGGTGCTTGCGTGTGCCCCCAAACATCAGCCGGGGACACGTGTGCGGTCTAACTTAGTAACACACCTGTTGTGGGAATGAAAGCGCTTGTGGCCGGGGGTTATTTTCGGCGTCTCTTTAGCAAGTTGCTGAGACTGCCCGGCAGCCTGCGGGAGGGAACACGGGCAAGCGAGGGCAAGCAGGCCACCGGGAGGACCCAGGCACCGAGGGCAAGCTGGTAAGAGAGCTGCAGGGAGGTCAGGCCCGGCGGGGCCGGCAGCCGCCGGGTGGGGACCCAGGAGGTAGACACAGACATTCGTCTTAGAAGCCTCTGGAAGATCCAGACCCCGCTGACGGCCCAGCTCTGCTGCGAGGAATCAGCCCCCTGCTGTGGTGAGCTGAGGCCATCGTGGCAGCAGGGCCATCTCCTGGCCTGGCCGGGGTGATGGCCGGTGGCTCTCATCACTCTTGACCAGGGCGTCCGTTGGCTGGAGCTCACCAGGGAGAGAGAAAATTGGCACAACAATGGGGTCTCCTGCTCTATCGGAGGGTCCTCCGGACAGCACCTCAGAGAGGGTGAGGGACGGGGATGCTTCCTGCCTGTGTTCGGCGTTCACTCTCCATTGAAGAGCAAGGGAAGCCCCCGAATGAGGTGACACTCCGGGGCTGGTGTGTCCCTTCAAGGCCCTAGAAGGGGCTTCCGAGATCATTCAGACCAGAGGCAAACGGGCTCCGACTGCATGGTGTCTCCTGGGGAGGGGAGAGCTGACTTGAGTCCTCGGGCCCCGTCTCAGGACAGGAGGCCTTCAGCCAGTGGTTTCCAAACCTCTGCTAAGTGGTGGCCAATTATTGACAAGTGATGAGTGATCCCCCAACATACAGAAGCAATCAGGGTTAAGCATCCCCAGCTCCTTCTGGTGGTAGAAGGATAGCGGAGGTTCTATAATCCAGGGGAGCATGGAGCGGAAGGGGCCCGGGCACCAGTCCTCGGGTTTAGCCAAGGCCCATTTGCAAATGAAGAAACTGAGGCCAGGCCCCCATTCTCACCTCCCTGGGCTAGTCCAGGCAGATGTGAGGCCTCGGGCAGGATGCCCCTCCCAGCCAGGGCAGCTTCTCCTGCCCATGAGGGCAGAGCTGTGTCGGCTGCTGCTGAGGGCCTGTGGGTGCTGGGGTCACCCTGCAGGGGCAGGCCGTCTGGGGAATCCTATGGAGTGTGCGTGATAATAGTGAGCCTTGCCACCTGCAGGCTGGGTGCCTGGCTCGTGGCCAGCAGTCTAGTGCAGTGAGTCAGGGAAGGACATTTGCAGGTGTCTCTGGCAAGCAGGTCCGTGGGGTAGAGCCAGCCGTCGCAGCTGGACGCGCGGGCAGCAGAGCAGGCAAAGCCCACCAGACGGCAGCCTCAGGGCTAACAGAGGGCACTCATCAGAGGGCTCCGGGGGCCAGGGATGGGCCGGTTCCAGAGCCCACAGGGGACGGTGCAGCCCCGGGGCTGGACTCAGTGGGAGCTGTGTCTCCCTGGCCTGCAGGGCAGGTGGAGGGGGTGACAAGGACCCAGGAGAGCCACAGCTGGGGGAGGGCTGAGGCCCAGGGAGGGGGCTGGCATGTGGGCTGCCCCTCCAGGCCGGGTGAGGCCAAGAGCGTGTGCAGAAGACACATCCCAGGGCCCGGCCAGGATGGGCAGGGCGGGCGTGGTCTGGAGCGACACAGCCACACCCCCAGCGGCCAAAGCAAGCAGGGTCAACGGCAGACACACCTGGCGCTCAGCGGAAGCCGCTTCACAGAGCTGACCCTGGCCGCATCCCCATCCCCGAGAAAGGAGCTCCTGCTCCCCATCTCCACACTCACTGGTGGCCAGGTCTCAGCCATGGGTCCAGGGAGGGCCTGGAGCCTCGAGAAATTCCATCCTCAGGGTGCAGCAGCCCTGAGCTGCCCACCTCCAAAGACTCCCTGGCTCGGCCCCTGGACACAGGCCCAGCTGGATGGCGGGGGCGTGGGCCTGGGGACCACAGGCGAGTGAGTGAGAGATGTCCGTGTGCGCGTGCATCTGTGTGTATACATGGGTGTTATCATACACACAGGTCCGGCTGCGTGGGGCTGCATATGCACGTGGTTCATGTGTGCGTGTGTGTGTACATGGCTGTGTGTGCATGTGTGTTCATGTGTGCATGCGTGTCCATGTGTGCATGCATGCACGTGTGTTCATGTGTGCGTGTGTGTACATGGCTTGTGTGCATGTGTGTTCATATGTGCATGTGTGTCCGTGTGTGCATGCATGTCCGTGTGTGCATGTGTGTACATGGCTGTGTGTGCATGTGTGTAGGCATGTGTGTTCATTGTGCATGCATGTCCTTGTGTGTCCGTGTGTGCATGCATGTCCTTGTGTGCATGTGTGTGAGTGTACATGGCTGTGTATGCATGTGTGTTCATGTGTGCATGCATGTCATTGTGTGCATGTATGTGTGTGAGTGTACATGGCTGTGTGTGCATGTGTGTAGGCATGTGTGTTCGTGTGTGTATGTATGTCTGTGTGTATGTGTGTGTCCATGTGTGCATGCATGTCCTTGTGTATGTGTGTGCATGCATGTCCTTGTGTGTATGTGTGTCCGTGTGTGCATGCATGTCCTTGTGTGTGTGTCCGTGTGTGCATGCATGTCCTTGTGTGTGTGCATGTATATGTGTGTGAGTGTACACATGTGTGTATGTGTGTGTGCATGTATTTCTTTTGTGTATGTGTGTATGTGGGTCTGAGAGTACATGGGTATGTTTGCAGGTGGGTGCATGTCCACACGTGTGTGTGCAGGTGCATGTGTGTACATGTATATAGGCATGAGTGTGTGTTGTGTGTATGTGCATAGGAGTATGTGTAAGGATGCTGAGGCAGGGAGTAGAGGTGGGGAACGGAAGGCATGTGTTAGGGGTTTAGACCATGTAGGGAGCACATTCAGGGGCAGGCCAGTGAGTGTGCAAGGGGCTCAGTGTGTGAACACAGGGAGCTGCCCGGAGCAGGTGCCCAGGCAGCTGGTTGAGGGGGCAAGGTGTGAGTGGCTGCTGGGTGTATCAGACAAGCCTCAGGACTCCCATGTGTGCCAACCTCCCTTCCCACATCTGGGGCCCTGTCCACTGTCACCAAGAGCCCTGGCAGCCCACGATCTCTGACATCTCAGGATCTGCAGACCCTGGTCATTGAGGCTCAGGCTCCTGAGGCCAGGGGACTGGGGTGCAGGCCAGGCACAGGCTCAGCGAGGAGTAAGGTCTTGTCCCAGGGCATGGCATGGGACCCCAGGTCTCCACCAGTCCTGGGACACTGACTCTGGTGTTGGGGCCCTGGTGACCACCGGTGCTGCTCTTCTGACCCCTGCAGTGTGCTCATCACAGGGGCCTCCGGTCCCCTGCCTGTCCTCCCCACACAGCCCAGGGCTCCTGTGCATTCACACCCGGGTGGTGGCAGCCCCAGACAGCAGCCCTCCGGGAGCCTCCTGGCCAGGATCCAACCCCACTCGTCCAGGGTGTCCAGGGCCCTCTGCCCCACCCCAAGCCCTGTCAGCCCAGGCAACGGGCCTGTGTAGGCCATGGGGCAACACTTGGGGCCGTTGTGGCAGAGGTGAGGGTCATGGCCTTTCAGAAAGGGTGAGCCACCGATCCCCGGAAAGGGGGACATAGGCCTGCAGGTCCCTCCTGGAGGAGAAGCCCCTCTGCCTGATCCCAGCAGACACCTGAGCAGACTGGCGGTGTCCTGGTGTGGTGTCCCCCCCTCGCTGTGAGGGGCCTGACCATGCAGCCCAGAGCAAGGCCAAGGGGTGGTGCTGAGCCGGGCCATGCCGATCGCGGCCGCACGCTGGCCCAGCCCCACCTGCTGCTGCCCTGGGCCCCAGTCTGGACATCCATGCAGGGCGTCCGGAGCCCCCGCCACACCGCTGCTGGCTCCAGCCCGCGGCCTCTGTCAGCTGTCGTCCTCAGCACCCCCTCCTTCCCGCAGTGATGAACGGCAGTCACTCGCCAACGGCCGTCAACGGGGCCCCGTCCACACCCAGCGGCTTCAGCAATGGCCCGGCCACCTCGTCCACAGCCTCGCTGTCCACGCAGCACCTGCCCCCGGCCTGTGGGGCACGGCAGCTCAGCAAGCTCAAGCGCTTCCTCACCACCCTGCAGCAGTTCGGCAGCGACATCTCCCCGGAGATCGGGGAGCGCGTCCGCACGCTGGTGCTGGGGCTCGTGGTGAGTGCGGCGGGCGGCAGAGGCCTGGTGGTCTGCAGAGCTGGGCCGTGGGGCTCGGCTGACTGCAGGTGTGTTTTCTTGCGCAGAACTCCACGCTGACCATCGAGGAGTTCCATTCCAAGCTCCAAGAGGCCACCAACTTCCCTCTGCGTCCATTTGTCATCCCCTTCCTGAAGGTAAGCACGCGTCCATCTCCCCCCCCCCCCCCCCCCCACCGTCGCTGGGCCCTCCGCGGAGTCCCAGATCTGCTCCCCGCCCGCTGTGATCAGGCACCACTCTCGGCCCACACTGGAGGGTCCTGCGTGGGAACAGCGCTGACCTCCAGACCCAGTGGTCTAACACAGAGCTCCCCAGCTCAGTCCTGCAGTATTGGTCAAATGCACTCATCCTCTAGACAGCTATGCCTTGAGCACCCACTGTGTGCCTGGTCATGCATGAGGCCTGGGGACACGGTGGGAGGGAGCTCAGCCAACCAACAATGGCCACAGACCGGTGCAGATGGGGGGGGGGCATTTGGTGCAGGCTGAGGAGGATGAGGGAGGGAAGCAGGTGGATAGCGGGGGACAGAGCCTCAGGGACAACAGGCACAGAAACCCGACGCAGGAGTGTGCCTGTTGTGTTTGGCGTGAGGCTGGATCAGAGGGAGGAGAGGGACAGACGGAGGGATAGGCAGACGGATGGATGAGTGGGCGTCAGAGGGGAGCGAGGGCCGTGCGGCCCGACGCGGAAGGCCAACAGTGGACCAGGGCCTCTGCAGGGGGAGGGCGGTGCCGGGCCCACAGCTGCATCAACATGAGGGCTTGTGAGCCATGCAGGTTCCTGGGCCCCAGCCCAGAGCCCCTGAGTCGGAACCTGTGACAAGGTACTGGGTGATTGGTGTGTGTACACAACAGGACAAGCGTAGTTCTAGACCCCGCTGGACCCGCTTCTCAGGGCCTTCCCTCCACCAGGAGGATCTTGTGTCTCCCAGAGAGGGCAAAGGTAAAACGCTTCCCAAAGGGATGTGACCCTGTGACCCTTCTGGGCCCCTCCGGGGATCAGGGTTTCACAGAGCTCACTTAGCAGATGCCGTCTCCCTGGACCCTGCTCACCGGCGTGGGGGGCCCTGGGGGCTGCCTTCCAGAGGGGCTTGAGGACAGACAAGGCCAGATGCTCCCGGCTCCCAGCCCTGCCCCTGGGCCACTGCTGTCGGCCTGGCCGAGCTAGCTCACCCCTCTCTGACTCGGTTTCTGCAAACCTGCCATGCGCCATCCTCAGCCACTGGGTCGGGGGCGGATGCTCGCTTCATGTTGGGGCGTCCTCGTCGGGGCATTTAAACGCTCTGCGGACCAGGCATGCTTTGCAAAGCTCTTTGCAGCGCCCCTGCTGACCCCCCCGCCCCGCAGCAACCCTGTGAAGGGGGCGGTGCAGGAATGCCCACCGTTCCTGGCTCCCAGGTCCCCCTGGTAGAGAGGTGGAGTCCGGCTGGACCCAGGCCTTTGCAGGCAGGCCCTGGGCGGGCACCGCGGTCCCGACAGTCCCTGTCAAGGGGACCCTAGGTCCTGCCCCACACCCGTCCTCTCCTCCCTCCTTCCTGCCTTCCCTCCCACACCCTGCTGCACTCACACTCTGAGAGCCGAGGCGCCAGGGTTTGGGCCCATCTGGCTGTCACTTGTAATTCACAGGAGCGCGGCCCTGCCCTCCCCTCCTTCCACTTACTGCTGACTCCACGCTCCCCATCTTTGGGGACACAGTGCGCCTGCTTACTCGGTCAGATCAAATATTTACAGCAGATGTCCCCGCCCACTCAGCTGCCCTTGTTTATCGGAGAAGCGGGGAGCATCCGGTGTCCCTGCTCTGGCCCCAGCCAGGCCTGCAGCCCCCGGCCCACGGCACCGCCACCCCCCCCAGTGTCCTCCCAGACACACCCCAGCGTGCTGCCAGGTAGACCACGCGGGCCCAGCACTGCCTGTGACGGAGCTCTCTGGCTCTGTGTCCCCTCTGCCCACGGTGGTCTCGAAGGGCTCCCGGGGCTCTCACGCCGAGACCGCTCCGTGCCTGTGACCCCACCCGGGGCTCGGGGCCAGCACACTGTCAAGGACACGGAGTCCGTCTCCCTGACATGGAGCTCCTGGGGTGTAGCCAGTTCCATCTGCAGGCCCTGTGACGAGGCGCCAGCCAGAGCCCTGGGAGGGGGATCACCTTCCAGAGGATTCACCGCCCACCAGGCCCACGATGGCGTGTGCCCTTGCGGGTGCCCGATGCCCTGCAGAAGAGGCAGGAACTGTGGCCCGCCTGGCTCAGACCCCAGCTCTGGGCTCTCGGACCTCTCCCACGGTGATCCTGTCACGGGGGCAGGAATGTGTGAGGTAACTCACACCCAGGGCAGGAGGACGGCCCCACTCGCAGAGGAGACACAAGTCAAGTGTCTGGCCCAGGGTCCCAGGGCAGAGCCAGGGTGGGCTGACCGCCGGGCCCGCAGCACCCAGGCTGTGTGGGCATCCGAGGAGGCCCTGGACAGAGCCGCAGAAACACCACAAGCCCTCGTTAAACGGGGGTCACGGCTCAGCCTGCCCCATGTCGCACTTGTTTGTGCAAACACTGATTTCCCTTTGGCCTGAGTCCCTGCCTGTGAAGAAGGTAGTTCTGGGCCCTCCTGCCATGTCGGTGTTCACGGGGCTCTGGTGACCAGCGCAGCCTGTCTGCATCTGGGTGGCCAGGCCTCCCCTCCCACAGTGGGGACTGCTGCCCCAGAGGCAGCAGCCGCCCCACAGCCCCCGCCCAGTCTTCTGCCCTGGGGCTCCCCCTTCCCCTCGCCCCCACCAAGGGCCCCGAGACCCCCGAACCCACTGCTCAGCCTGACACCACGCGTGGCTACGTGGTGGGGCTTTCCGGAAGCTGGGAGACGCTGCCCCACCCGGCCGGCCCTCCGCCCGCAGGCCCGGCTCCCAGCTGGCCCCAGCCGGCCGGGAATCCAGATGTTTCCACGGCCCTAACAGCGACCAGCCGGCCAGCCGGTGCCCCTGCGGTCCCCGCCCTGCTGAGCCAGCCAAGGGAGGCCATTCGGGAAGGGGGGCCAGCAGGGGAGAGGGAGGATGTTTGGCGTCTTCAGACCTCCCGGGACCTCCTTTCCCAGCTCATGCTCCTAACGTGTTCGACAGATGGCGGGCTGGCCCCCGTTCAGCTATCCAAATAGAAAAACAGGCCTTGCAGCCGGCTCTGCTTGACAAAAACGCATCGGCTGCTTGATCAGGTCCGGGTGGATGCGCTCAGCGGGGCTACAGAGGCAGAGGCGGCCACTCTGAAATGCCATGAGAAAGTTGGGGAACTGTATTTATTTACAAATACTTGGAGCTGCCCGCTCTCCCAAGCAGCCTGCCGCTGAGCCCCCACCCAGCCTGTCCCCTGCCACGCTGCGAGGCTCTGGGAAGACAGTGGACAGCTGGAGGAGCCCGCTTGCCCCCCAGCGGCACACACAGGAGGTGGGGCTGGAGCAGACCTGGGGGCGCAGTGGTTGCACACGGCATTGCGAGTGGGGACTGCACCTGGATCCCGTGCCCTGCCCTGGATGTGTCCTCCTCCTCGCTGTGCTCTGTTCTCCTTACCCATAAACGGGGAACCAAGTTGTCACGTGTGTCCGCGGATGGTTGTAAGGATCGCAGGAGGTGACAGCTCCAAGTGGGGTGGGCACGCGTCCATGCGTGGTGTGGGCTCCAGGCTGCTCAGGGCTGGGCTGGGCACCCACGGGAGGTGGGAGAGCTGGGGATGCACACTGGGGTCTGGAGCACACATGCAGGGTGCTGCTCCAGCCCCCCCTTTTACAGTCAGCTATAATGGAGAGCTGGGCCTCAGCTCTCTGCTCTGCACAGGGGTGATTTGGTGCCTGCTCCCACAGGTGAAGGCAAGGAGTCCTGGTTATGGTCCCCTCCTTGCCCTTCCCCAGGTGCCCCCAGGGCAGGAAGCTTGGTGAAGTGGAAAAACCCCAGCTGGGGGGCCAGGATCTGGGCTCGGGGTCCCACTGCACCTCAAATCCGTGTGCTCACCCCCATTCCCAGATCGCAGTGGAGAGACACAGGCCCAGAGAGGTGGTGCCACGTACCCGAGGTCACAAAGCAGGGCTGGCCGCCAGCCATCAGCGCACACTGAGCCTTGGCCCCTGTCGGCCACAACCGCGGTGCCCTCTCCCCCGATGCAGGCAAACCTGCCCTTGCTGCAGAGGGAGCTCCTGCACTGCGCCCGCCTGGCCAAGCAGACCCCCGCCCAGTACCTGGCCCAGCATGAGCAGCTCCTACTGGACGCCAACGCCTCCTCGCCCATCGACTCCTCCGAGCTCCTGCTGGACGTCAACGACAACGGCAAGAGAAGGACACCTGACAGGTGAGGGGGGCGGGACAGCAGGCGCCTGGTGCCGGGGCTGACAGCACGTGGGCCGACCTCCTGCTGCGTTCCGTGGCCCGCAGCTCACGGCCGAGGCCATCAAGCCTTGCCTGCAAGGCCACCGCACGGGGCTGGGCACGGCATCCTGACCACTCAGATGGCCCCTGGGAGGACAGGAGGGGTCAGGAGGGAGTCTCTGTGGCAGAAACTGCCTGGCTCTTCGCTTTGGGCTGGATGAGGACCTGAGCGTCCAGGCACCTGAGGTCCCCAGGCGCTGGGCTGGCCCTCAGTGTTGGCCACAGAGCTGGGCGCTTGTCTGGCCACTGGACAATGCGTGTCCGTCTCCTCACTCCCTCAACAGAGGCTCCGGCTCCCTGGCCCCCGGCCGCAGAGCCCAGAACCCGTGGGCGCTGGAGGCTGGCACGAGCCCCAGGGGAGGAGGGAGAGTGGGGGGCCGGCCTCGTCCCTGCCCCTGCGCACCTGTCTGTCCTGCCCGTGCCTGTCTCCCTCTCACCCCTCCTGCCTGGGCTTTTGTCCACGGTTCGTGGTCTGTGACCTTGCCTGCTCTTTGGGTCAGGACCAAAGAGAATGGGTCAGACCGTGACCCACTGCACCCCGACCACCTCAGCAAACGGCCGTGCACCCTGAGCCCCGCCCAGCACTACAGCCCCAGCAATGGGCGGCCCCACCCCACGCCACCACACTACCGCCTCGAGGACATGGCCGTGGCCCACCACTTCCGTGACTCCTACCGCCACCCTGACCCCCGGGAGCTGCGGGAGCGCCATCGGCAACTCGGTGAGCGGTGCGCTGGGGAGCAGGGGCACGCGCGGGCCTGCACGGCGGGGGGAGAAGCACAGAGCTGCGGCGAGCACGTCAGCGCGGGCAAGATACGCTGACCCTCCTGGCCTTGTCTGTGCAGGAAGGATGCTGAGGAAATGGGTATGGGGAGAGGATTTGAGTGGGGTGGGGCCCTGCGGCCCAGAGGGAAACCGCACCCTGCTGGGCTGTGCCCCTGAGCCTTAGGGAGGGCCATCTTTCCCAGACCTCTGTCTTGGGTCGCGGTGGGGAGCCTCCCTCCTCCAGGGGAAGGGCTGTCATCGCAGAGGTGACTGTCCCTGGGGGCTGGGCAGGGGCAGATACAGGACCTGAGGGAACCTAGAGAACCTAGAGGGGCACTGGCCACTGGCCAGGTACACACACGGGGTGTTCAGCCTGGATGCTGCGGGGCCCTGTGTCCAGGGCAGCGGGAGGCTGGGGTCACGGCCAGCCAGGAAGAGACCCCCTGTTAGGGTGGGCATGTGAGCCACAGTGCTGCAGCTCATGCCTCCAGGGCACTCCCACGCTCTGGGCCCAGGCACCCCGAGGGAAAGCACATGCCCCCCTAAGACTCACGAGCCCTCATTGAGCACCACTGAGTACACACACCCCGTCCTGCTCTCCAAGCGGGATGAGAGCGAGCCCCACAGCACCAAACCACAGTGAGTGAGCTGTGCACGGGGGCGGGAGATGCAGGAGCCCGGACCCTCTGGCAGCACCAGATCCCCACCCTGCAGCCTCGGTGCACCATGTGACCTCCCGGCCTCCCGCTCTTCCTCTGTCAGCCGATCTGACGGGAGTCCCACCTCTCGGGTGGTGTGAGGAGCATTCACATGGGGCCGGGCAGACGAAGGGCTGGTAAGGAGGGCAGCGTCCTATCCTTTCCCCTGTTACAGGGGCAGCAGGCCCCAATGTTGATAGTATGGGTGTGTGGTGCATCGGCAGGCCCATGTCACAGATGAGGAGGCCCAGAAACCCCATGCATGTGCCCAAAGCCTCCTGGCCACGTCTGCCCGACCTGACCCCCTCTGTGTTGGGGACTAAGAGAGGAAGAGGACCAGCCCACACCCTGGGGGCCCCCCAGCATGTTGGGGGGACAGCCTGGAAACAGCTGAGGGTCCCAGGGCACCAGTGGGGGGCCCGAGGCAGGGTCAGCAGAGGCCTCACCCTGTACAAGGCCATCTCCCCGCCCCCACCCTGCGGAAGCTTCCAGGGCCTGGGCCCAGGCAGCAGGTGACAGCGTCTGGCTCCCTGCAGCCGGGTCGGGCAGGTGCTAATTCCCACCCGCTCCTGCTAATGCAAAAATAAACACCAGCTGTCGGGCAGATCTCAGCCACTATTTTGGTTGGGGTGTTGGCGTGGCCTGGGTTCCGAGGGCGGCGGCGGGGGCGGGGGGGCTGCGGCCTCTCACTCCTGCTGCACTTCGGGGAGGCTAGGAGACCCTTCGGGGCTGGAAAAGGCCTACACAGAGAGACCCCAGCCTGGGCAGCACCGGGCAGCCCGGGGTCACCTGGCGTAGGCTCGGGGCGCCACGGCGGGAGCGCCCAAACCAGCGTGCGGCCAAGAGCATTTGATATGTCAGAAACCACATGAGGACAGGCACACACTGTTGCATGGTATGAATTCCTCAGCTCAGAGTGGTTTTGTTTCTCGTCACCAGCTGGGGGGACACCCCATTGTTTCAGCCTCTGGAGCTGTGGCAGCCAGCAGCTGAGGGCACCCCTGAGGCTTGGGCTGACCTTGGGTGACCTTGGGCAATCGCATGCCCTGAGCCAGCCTCGGTGTTCTCATCTGTCGGATGGGAGTGACAGAGGAACCTCCCTTGGAGGGCCCTCCCCTCCTGTGCACCCCCAGAAGGTCGGAGGGTAGGGAAACGGACACGGCGTGCTGAGGGCGGGACCTGGGGATCAAGTGTTGGGGTGTCAGGGTTTGCAGACCCCACTGTCTCCCAGGGTGCCCCACTTGGACCCAGCAGATGAGCCAGAGCACAGCCTCCTGCCCAGCTGGGCTTTGGCCCAGGAGACGTAGCCAGTTTCGGGGACAGAGTCAACAAGGAAGCGGCCAGGACGGTCTAGCACATGGATCTGTGTGGGGCTGAATGGATTCTGAAGGGCTCGGGGCTGCTGAGGATGGGGCCTGGGACCTGGGCTCTGAGGGGTGTGTAGGAGTCCAGCGGGCTGAGAGGAGGTAGGACAGCATGGGCTGGAGCCAGGCGGCTGCCAGTGAGCCCCTGAGGGCTTTGGAGGAGTGGCGAGGCCATCAAAGTGGGGCCTGAGGCAGCCTCCACGGGCGGCAGGGCAGGAAAACTGAGCTATGCTGGATTTGCAGACAGAGAGGTCGGGGAGGGGTGGCCAAGCCTAGACTGAGGGGTGGGGACCCATCTCTTCCTCCCAAACATTGAGTAGAGGCCAGGCCTGTTCTTGACCTCCCCCCAAAGGCAGTGGACAGAGGGTCAGTGCCCAGGGTCCCCCTCCTCACCCTGTCCACTTCCCTCACACAGGCAAAGCCAAGTCCCAGGACTGGGACTGGGGTGAGGGGCGGGGCCTGGGAAGCACAGGGCGGGGCTGGGGGACCCCGAGGCTGGGCCTGGGGGGAGGGGGGTCTGGTGAACA